GAATAAGAAAGCTGTACTGCAAATGAATTCCCAAAACTCTTGATAAACGCAGAGTTGTTCAGTATCATAAATTCCTCCACCTCGCTAGCCGTGGCCCCCAATATGGTCAAATTATACCTTTCCCCAATTATGACCATGGGGCAGAAGTCGAAAGTTGTTAATTTGACAAGTCCATCCTGTAGCAGTTCGCACTTTCCTTCTACCGGAATTTCCTGAAATGCTAGATACTTATGAAGGTCATTATTCTGAACGTCCCAAGATTTACGGATGCCCCGTAGCGACAATGTTCTAACTTTTGAAAAAGTTATTGGCTCACACGTCAAACATGGAACAAATAACGATGAAGGGATAACATCTCGGAACAGGACTAGTTTCATGGTACCCAAAAAGTAAACATGGAATGAAAGGCAGGACAAATCATTGTAACTTCGATAGTAGGCAAAAATTATTTCTTGTCGGAATAACACACTGCAAAACAGCATCAAGTTTTTGCACGAAATTAGATCGACAAAGATGACTTTAGCCCGCGCAGATTTCTCCGTTCCACGATAGTAGTGAGCCTTAAGATAATTTGAGTATGGGTTGCCACGCCTGGTTGAAAATATTGATTGCTGAAGGTCGAAATATCGCAGAGGGGTGTATGAATTTTCTCCCCGAATGGCCTGAAAATATGTGGATTCTGTGTCCTCGTACCTTACTTTATATCTGTATGTGAATGTGAAGGTGAGATCGGCATCTAGAAATAGACCGCTCCATATTGTACAATTACTATAATGCGACAGAGTGGAAAGTGTCGCGATAAGGATGAAAATCCAGTATAGAAGCAGCATGATAACTTTGGCGGCAGAAATTGTAATTATTGGCGCATGCGAATTTTTGTGTGGATTTCACAGATATGAAACATTCTGATAATTTTGAAACAAATATTCTACACGGAAGAGTACGGATTTGCTCTTTCCCGGTGTACAATTTTAAAATCTCTTTTTCAACCAAAGGTTGATACATATGTCCAGGGAAGGAAAACTAATGCCATAAGCATGAGCTAGCTGCCTTTTTCTCGTATACCCATTGAAGTTTTACATTACTGGACGCGCGTAGCAGATTTGTCTATTTGGTTATTTATATCCTGTACAAAAAACGTGATAAGATTATCTTTAGAGTGAAAGTGGGAAGATTGAAAATGTTCGCAACGGCGAACCATGAGCAGAGCGTTTCTGAAGTTGTGTTCTTGTTGAAATACTAATTTAAACGCGAGGATTAAATGTTCTCAGTATACGAAAGGCTATGCTAGCGTATCCTCCTTCAGTCACGTACACAAATAAATCAAAATAGCCGTTATCGAGAATTTCGTTAGAACTAACGTTCAAATTGGATTGATATGTGCATGGGATCGATACAAGTTTTTTGCACGAAGTATCTTCAATACCTGTTCAAAAATTCATATTTCATTCAAAACTCAGTTATCTGGCTTTCTGGTTGAAAATGTTCATTAAAATTCAATCATTTTAGTTCTACTTCATTTCACTTCATCGGACTACATTCTTACTTAGCCTCATGTACCTATGTATTGGTGAAAAATGAAAGTAATGAAAAATCTTTTCATTCATCTGAAATAAAGGAATCCTTCAGTTATTTTCATTCAAATGACAGGTAATTCACTTTCATTCACTATCATAGTCAGTCAAATGAATGAAAGTGAACAGGTTTGATGGGCCTCTGGCCTCCCAAGAAAGCAGCAATAAATACTCCAATGTAATTTACTAACCAATCCTATCCAAGTTACGAGCGGAAACATAACCTTGCCTAATATTTGTAACGTTAGGAAAACTATCCACTAAGAAGGGAACCTCAACTACTGTCCCATCTCGATTTCCTTCGGAATATCCTTGATAGATGGTAATTTAGTGAAACTGAAACTTTGTCATAGAACATGAAGCTTTGTAAATTGTGTTGCATTTAAAGGAACGAAGAATTCAAATTTGCGAAATTTTTCCGATTTTCGCAATTTGCAAAAAATTGGCAAATGTTTACATCACGTTTTTGCATATTCGTGATCGGGCTGAAATTACGCGGACGGGTACATAAACAATTTTTCAATATCCTATAAAGTTCATTTCATCAATCGAAAGGCTGGGGGCTATGTTAAAAGCATTGAGAAAATAGCAGGTTTTAGGGCAGCTCTCGCCAAATATTTCGCGAAAACGTGATTTTGCACCGCATGTTCTATGACAAAGTTTCAGTTTCACTAAATTATCTATCGATCAAGGCTATTCCGAAGGAAATCGAGATGGGACAGTAGTTGAGGTTCCCTTGTAAGATATAAGTATTACTTGCCTTCCATAACGAGCTATTGGTAAAAACATCATGTCGTGCAAGAAACTTATGCACGTACATAGCAAACTGCGATGCAAAAGTCAATCCACTTTTAACATTTGTGGTAATGAAATTCAGTGGCGGCGGAAGTTGGAGGGAAATATAGAGACATAAGCATTACGAGATATGAAGAGGAGGGGCTAATTAACATAGGCAAGATAGAAGGATTACGAATCTGGGAGGACTATGTCCTCCTGTCACCCTGCTTCCGGCGCCACTAATGAAATTCACCACCATGGGGATATTTATATGTATTTACATACGGGCATCGTGGAGTCACGCAAGGTTATAAAATAGCATTTGTCAGATTAAATTTAGAATGCTTTTAATCAATATATGTATTATGTATATCACGGAGTAGGGTTGCCGCGGGTAACGGGTCGGGTACCCGTTACCCGCATACCCGCACGATTCTTGCGGGTACCCGTTATCTGCGGGTAGCGAGAACTACCCGCACGGGTAGCGGGTAGTTCAGTTTTTATTTAATTTTCGACATAAATCAGTTCACAAAGAAAGTTAGCAGCAAGTTAGTCCATTTACCAACAAAAGCGTCAATTTATTATTTTTCCATTTCAAAATTTTTCATTTGCCAGCAAAAAACGTTTATAACGTGCGTGTCTTTACGGAAGGCACAGAGGCCTATGCCGGCCTCAAATATTTTTCACGTCCAGAAAATGCGGAGCAATTACATATTGTTTCTCAAGCATGGTTTGCCCGCTCAAAATATCAGTAATAATTTTACTTGTATTTGTGTGTATTTATTTATGTAAGACTGCCGAGATTTTAATTTGTGCTTTGAAGATAAAAAATCTTAATCCGATTGAAGACAAAAAATTTATTTATAGACAATTTTTTTGAATGAAAACTTCATTTAAATCAAAATTTGAAAAAATAGAAACAAAAATTGAACCTTTTTAAAGCTAAACCAAGATTACCCAGCGAGCATATATCAAAAAGTCACGCCAAAAATTAGGAATCGCGTGATACTTATGTATCTTTCCTTTGAATGGCCCCTTCGACGAATAATATTGGCGGTAAAGTTTAATTTTTAAGTAAATGTTCTGTATCTTTTTCCTGGTTTCCCGCTGTCGTGCTTTTCCGAAGTCCATGGTCGACTTTGAACTCTGCCCCCGCAATAGTTTCCTTTAAACTGTTCATTCAATGGGAAAATTAGTTCGATGTAATTCCTATTTTTTGGTTTAATTTTTTGATGAATCATAAATCTCTAAGAATACCCACATACATAGCTTGAAAAACGATCCAATTGTAAGCCAAAAAGCATGCCTTACTTGCATAGTATTATCTCAAAATACATATCAACCCAAATGAAAAAATAATTGATCAAATCAAACTTATTCTCATGCTTGGTTAGTTTTTAACCCAATTCTCATAACGGGTAGCGGGCAACGGGTACCCGTGCGGGTACGGGTAGTTGTGCTGCGGGTAGCGGGTCGGGTAACGGGTAGCATTTTCGCTACCCGCGGCAACCCTATCACGGAGTAAGATAAGAATTATGTATACTTGCAAAATCCTGCAAAAGCATCTACCCTTAATTTATTTCATTATATTTCCCATGTGAAAAGAGTTGGATTTTGAGTAAAATTTTTGGATATCGAAATTTTCGCTGGGGTGTTATGCGAATTACTTATGCGAGTTTAATATGATAGACATGACATTTCTCGAACGGATGATAAAATTACAATTTTTTTTGATGACTCATTGGATGAATACATAGCTCCTGATAAGTATTTCTTATTTTCCAGATTAATACTTATCTCCCCACTGGTTATGACTCCTGACCCGTATGCGGTTTCGATACCCACCCAAACCCAATGTACGGAAAGTACAATTGATGCATCTGGGCATGTAAACACACAAATTACTTTAGGTTACAAGCATTGACTAAAATCTTATTAATAAATGTATGTATTTATGACAGCAAAGTACAATTTTATTCTCTTTGAATCTTAATTATGTATGTATTTGTAGTTACAGAAGAAACGTATGACGAACCACCAACATAACTTCTTACGAGTTATTTCCCTACAAATAATTGTTAATGTAAATACACCAATCAGTAATGATTTACATAATACCTGTTTTCTTTCAGAATGTGCCATTTTTTGTCACTGTTTAGTTAAAGACAATTTTTTGGAAAAGGGTTCATTGCATTCTCGTCAAAGTATATGTAGGTAAGGGGTCTCTTTCCAGCTAATTTTGACCAGTAGCCGATGCACGATTGTCTATTCTTTCAGTGCATAAACCACACTTTATTTCAGGGACCGTCCATAAATAATGTCACGCAAGATGGGGGAGGGGGGGAGGGTCCAAGGGTCCAATGATATCGCGCCTATGTAATACATGTTAAAGAAGAAGGGGGCTCTAAAAATCGCGATTTTTGCGTGACATAATTTATGGATGGCCTTTTACACAATCCTTTATTCCATTTCAAAGTTTTGGAATGAACCTTTCCCAAAAATTTGCCTGAGGACAAGAAAGGGTTCAAGCTATTGTTAGCTTTGACACTTAATGGTATTTATGTCCTACGTATTTTCGCGTAATATGGGAAAAGATTGTGTGAAACATGTATTTGCAGCCCGTTGAACATCCAGTCTCTGCCACACTCTTCCAATAAATACATCCTGGTGCACATTTTTTTTTACTCAAAAATCGTTTTTTTCTCACCTTTACGCGTAATGGCTCCACGGGCAAAGAAACGCCCCCACCACGAGTGTCCCCAATGTGGCAAAATATTTAAGACGGGGTTCGAGCTTCGCAAACACGTAATCACTCATGATCCCGACGCCAAAGTAAAATGCCAAGTAAGTTTTGCATAATACCTTGCAAATATTTGCATATGTACAAGCTACGTTTCGACTTCACGTTAACTTATCGCCAAGATAAGTAGTCAAATTAGTATTCATTTCCCAGCTCTGCAAATTTATTTAAAAATTCTGTACCACGAATTTGTAGAGAAGGGCATTCCCAATTTTTTAAAATACACACTCCACATTATGGAGGTGTTTTAAGGAGGAGATTTTAACTTTCAAAAATCCTCATAAAAATTGAAACTGGCTCAAAAACCGACCTCCATTCTATGTATTAGTCAACTCACTGACTGCAAAATTTGCCGTCCATAATTATAAAATAAATTTCCAAAGCCTAGGTAGAAGTGTGCAAAAATCTGTTTTGATTTTGACAATTTTAGTGATCGACCATACATAATTACTAAATTGAATATTTAGTAGAATTTATTCTTTTTTTGGTACAGATTTGCAGAAAAACGTACAAAAACCCGGTGTCCTTAAAACATCACGTGTCCCTTATTCACACCAACCGAGTCCGATTTCCGTGTCCCACGTGTCGCCAAACGTTTGCCGAGCTTTCGTATTTACAACGCCACGAGGCCACAGTGCACGCTGCGGAGCCCCGACCATGCCTCCCGTGCAAGTTTGAAAGATGCGAAAAAACTTATCTTGATAAGGCGGCTTTGCGAAGTCACGTGAAAATGGAGCATTCTGACAACCCCGTCCGTTTTCCGTGCCCCCTGTGCGGAAGGGAGTTTAAACAAAGGGGAAGCCTCCGGACGCACATTGCCATCCATACGACGGAGAAGACGTACAAGTGCACCACGTGTGGGAGGAGTTTCGCGACGTTGGTCTGTATGAAAAACCATGAGGTGTAGTATATTCGAACAATAGTTTTTTTATAGCTATGCCCGGATTCTGGAGTAAAAACACGTTAAAAATTAGCTAAGAAATTAAAAATCACATGCCACCTACATAAATAGCTTCCCGTTGAACGATCCCTTTAAATTGAACTTTGCCTCCAATATTTTTTTAAAGGACTTTATCTTATCTTACACTTATCTTTCCACCACTGCTGGAAAGACAAGTATCATGTGATTAATAATTTTTGGCTTAATATAATTCGCCACACAATCCCGGTGTAGTTTGAGAAAAGGTTATACTCTAAGAATGTTAGAATGAATGGGATAAATTGCTTCTGTACAGAAACTACATATGCACACTCTAAAAAATAATTTGGTCATTTTCGAAATATAATGCACTCCAGAGTAACTTTCATACGGTAAAGGGTCATGTTTGCCCAGGATTTTGTATATCTAGTTCACTTAATATATTTACAATTCAGAATGCATCTACTTTTCAAAAGGGTAGCATTATTTTTAAGAGTGTATTCGTATATATTTATTTATTTTGTATTACATCTCATTTCAGGACACCCACAAAGATAAATCAACTCGACCCCTTATTCCGTGTCACCACTGTAATAAGAAATTCTTAAGTAAAACGGCCATGCTAAATCACATCCGGAAGGAAAAAGAAAATCGAAAAAAATACCCGTGCGAATTTTGCAAAAAGAGATTCAGATTTGAATCCAATGCAAAACGACATATGAAAATGGATCACCCATTACGTGTGAATCCGGTCCGTTCGTGTGATAAATGTGAATTCAGAACCTACTCGGAAGACTTATGGACGAGACACGTGGCCCAACACGAGAAAAGGAGCACGTGTTATTTCTGCGGCAAAAAGTTTCACGAATTTCAAGAATTAGTACAACATTGTGGGAGAAGGCATACCTTGGAAGTTTAAAATGGGCAAAGTGAGCCTCTCACTCACAATGGAACATTTCTTCACGCTGGTCCGGGATTGTCTACGATTCATGTCAAAAAAGCAAACACAAAATTAGAACTCACATGGCGCTTATCATTCCGTCGAATTTCAAGAAGAATATTGGGGTCAAAGTACCCAGGGGCTCGTTGGAGGAAATTTTCCAAAAAAATTGAAATTTTCCGTCCATATTTTTGTTGAAAGGCCATTCAACGGAAAGATAAGTGTCACGAGATTCCTAATTTTTGACTTGTTTTTTTGACATAACTCGCTAGAAAATCGCGGTATAGCGTGAAAAAAGGTTCCGATGTCAGTATTGATATATTTGTGCATCATAAGTACTTGACTTTATATATGTATGCAAATATCTGAGCACATTATACATAGGTATATTCTCTACTGATAAGGGAACGTTCACATTTTGCGTCATCAAAAAGGATGGGTGGCGTTGGTCGGATATGCAGCATACACGTTATGTCATGTTAAGCATACATGAGTAGGATATGCATGGGGCATGTGGTAGTTAAATAACCTCCGTTTTTCTCATGACGTAATATATGAACGTTCCCTACGTAGTAATCATTATACAAAGTCTGTCACTCCAAACATCACATTAACAATGTCGATTTATACATATGTGTTTACTATTTTGTATTTCGTTCGAGTAGAGGTACATACTTAATGTTTATATATTCAGTTGCCTCAAATTTTAACTGTCAAAAAAATACTTGATAATGAAACTGGGCAAAAAAAAACTTCTCAGAAAACTGTTCATTTAAATAAAAATTCCATGCGACTTATTGTCAATATTATGCAAGCAACTGGCACATCAACATATTTACGCTCTTTACGTACGTACGTAAATATGTTTCTCCATGCACCACAAAAATTTATCAGATCTGTCCTCTCCTCAACATAAATTCGATTCAGTCTGAATTTCTACATGAAGTAAAAAATAAGTACAACAAAAATCATTAGAAAATGGGACCATTTACCAAAATATTTCTCTACTTAATTGCAACGTTTCCCAACCAGGTAACTATTTTTCCAATCATTTAAATACTTTAAAGTCCTAATTTTATTTCCCAAAGTGGTGAATAAATATTTTACAAAATGACTTGCTCAATTTTAGTTTAATTGATATCCAATTTTTGTACCCAGATTTACACCAATCCAACAATTATTTCGGGAGGGCGGGCTATCCCAGTAAGTACAGAGAATCCGGAAAATATTCTCCCACAAACGGGGGAAGAAGTAATATTCAGGAAAAGCATTGCTGAACCATTATTCGAAAATGGAATTTTTTCCAAATATTGCTCTAATTGTGGAGGTCATACACCCGAGGGATGCAGTAATTATTGCTACAACGCTCAATATCCGTGCTATCAATGCTCCACTTGTCACTGCTACTGCATGTGGTACAGTTGCTACTAAATTATTAGCGAAAAAACAGGATAATAATCGATTAAAATCCAAAATAATCGTAAGTTTATAGAGCGGATAATTTATTAGCGAAAAGTAGTCTAATCTCCAGTGAAGAATATTTTGACCCGATTATAAATAATTAGGAATCGAGTATAATCAACACACTTAATCGCTAACGTTTTTTTTCATTCTTTGCATATCTATTTTATAAATTCTTCTCAAATTGTTAATGGATTTGTCAAATTATGAAAGATAAAAATCCTCATTATGAGTGTAAATAGCTATGAAGATGAATTAACAATTTGATAGGTTTCGCACAACTGTTTCGGACAAATATTTCAAACATACAGTAAGCAAAAATTTAAATCGTACCTTTCCCTAAGGTTGCACAAATCGATGCCTTTCAGCTTCTTGGAAACCAGTTTTGATTATGAAATGCATCAATTTTATAGGTGATTCAATATGCAGATTCCAAAAATGATATGCATTTGTTATTTTCCTTGCGGATAATGAAACATAAATTAAAAAGTGGAGGAGAATTGAAAATAAATGCAAATAAATTAAACCGTATCCATCTGTATTTCGAACTCAAAACCAATTAGGTAAATTTCGATTTGTTTGCAATTTTTAATATTTCTATGTAAAATTTTTCAAATTTGTATAGGGAACGTCCCTACGTCATCATTTTAGTGGGTGGGTGGTTTAGGTCTTCTTATCTTCCCCATGTTAAAATTCTCCATCCCTTAACGTTGACGTCGGGAGGGCGGATGATAATATCCAGAATTCTTGATGACATAACATATGTATGGATAAACCCTTTCTGTACATACGTATTTATATATAGAGAACTACGCACAACCACTGTGCAGAACTACCAAATGGCATTATTATCATATCTCACCTATTTATGTAAATTTGTATGAGTAAGTTACCTATCGTCGCACTAATTCTAAAAAGACGTAAGTGCATTCGATGCTTAATTTTAAAACCACGTAAGTGCACTCGATGTTTAATTTTAAAACCATGTAAGTGCAGTCGATGTTTAATTTTAAAAAGACGTAAGTGCACAAAAAAAACTAGTAAAAAGACGTAAGTGCACTTTTTAAAATTATAAAGAGTAATTACTTGTTCAAAATTGTCCTATCAAGGGAAATTTGAACTTATTGGCCCCCATAGGCAAGTAATGAAAGAAAATTCAAAATTTAAAAACCACACCCTCAGGGGGTGTGGTTCTCGGCCTTTACAGTAAGGTGAATTAAATCAAAACGTATTTCTCTCCTCACCCCGGTGACGCAATTCCAGAAGATTATTAAAAATTTAAAAACCACACCCCCTGAGGGTGTTGTTTTTAAATTTTGAATTTTCTTTCATTACTTGCCTATGGGGGCCAATAAGTTCAAATTTCCCTTGATAGGACAATTTTGAACAAGTAATTACTCTTTATAATTTTAAAAAGTGCACTTACGTCTTTTTACTAGTTTTTTTTGTGCACTTACGTCTTTTTAAAATTAAACATCGACTGCACTTACATGGTTTTAAAATTAAACATCGAGTGCACTTACGTGGTTTTAAAATTATGCATCGAATGCACTTACGTCTTTTTAGAATTAGTGCGACGCTATGTAAATGTTATGCTTACGCTTAATACTAAAGTGTTATAAAGCGCATTCATTTCATTCTGAGCAACTTATTTTTAAGGAGGGCGAAGGTCACGAAATTGTGTGGTCATTCTGGATAAATGAAAAATGCCCATTTATGTACATACATACACTCTAAATAATGTGGTGACAAATCGTCACCACAAATCGTCACGGAGGTACTACATTTAATTCTCAGTTTTCGGGAAATATCTAATTACACCGACGCTTTGTCACCAAGGGAAAATAGAAATAAGTCAAAAATTCGTATACTTAACAGTCGCAACGTCCTTATTTAAAAATTAATAGTTTTATGTAAAACAAAAATCTTATATTTGCATCAAAATGTCCAATTTTTTTGCAAATAGAGAGAAACTTGTCGTAAACCATTACCCAAAAATAGAACACTACAGCAGCGGGTGATGATTTATCACCAAATTATTTAGAGTGTAGTGATATATTTACTTAATTTATGTATGTCGCCTGCTTTGCTACACATTTCTCATATGCATTAATACAACACATACATAATTAAACTTGTATTTGACATTGGTACATACGTGACACAACTGTTCATTTGCATCTTATCTGTACTACATATTTATTTAATCTTAAAAGTTTCTGTGAAATGTTACATTTTGTCGTCCAACGTTTTTTCCTAGTACTTCCACTAATTTCAAGATTTCTGCCCACTTATTCTGCAACTGAGGATAATAATACCATTAAAATCTGGGAATTCAAGGATACATCCCTTTACTCGCTGGGTATTTTAACTATTGATTATTGGCTTATTAAACCTTCAAGTACTAACACTGGAACCTTTTACCAAGCTACACAGAGATTTTCAAGCGAGTTAAGCAAACCAGCCAAACAACTGCTGTTCTAATTCATGACGACCAGGGCTGGGATAATCCTGGATTTCAATCCCAGATTAAGGATTATTAATCTAATGACAGTTTTTTTTAAACTAATCCCAATCTATAATCCTGATTTATCCGGAATTATTATTTATAATAAATCCTAGAATAATCTGATCAGATACCAGAAATTCGTAATGTCGATTATGGATAATCCATAAGGGATTATGGATTACTATTCCGGAATAATCCCAATCATGATTATCAGGATTCTTGATTAATCATCCATCTGGATTATTCAGGTCACTTGTTTAACCAGTTATGTAGTAAGACGAAACTAAAAATTAGGAGTCACGTCACGTGACTGACGTGACTCCATACTCGATATTACGGACTACTGGCACCAGATGGGATTATTCCAGGATTTATTACAATTCCGGAAAAATTAGGATTATAGATTGGGATTAATTTTAAAAAAACTGTCATTAGGTTAATGATCCTTAATCCGAGATTGAAATCCATAATCAGGATTATCCCAGCTCTGCTCGGCACGAATTAAAACGAGAATTGTTGTCTCTGCTCGTCCAACGGTTAATGATTGCGAGGGATGAATCATAATCTCTATCTTCTAGTTGATGAGCCTACCTCGCATGACTTGTCTAAGTGTAGCTCCATCGTAAACGAGACAATGAACGGGGTAATCTACGCCATCGAAGGGGAACGATGTGTAAATCTTTATCAAGAAGAAACCGACTGTCACGGTCCGTTCGTTCGGTTCTTTGGACGTTCTGGTATGCAAATATGGGATCTGCATACTTACAAATGGTCCCAGGAAGGAGTTCTGACCAAGGATCGGCTTAGAGCGGCCTCAATAGGGCCTTGTTTTAATAAATGTGACTCCAGGAATTTGGAGGGTAACACGGGGGCCCCCATTGTGGTTTCCCTGTATTTAAGTGAAGATCATGAAGGTAGAAAAATATTTATTAACACTGGAACCTTTTTTAATGTATCAAGCTAAGTACACTGGGATTCTCCAACGAGTTATATATATATATAAGTCAAGTCAAAATTAGGAATCAGAAGTCAAAATTAGGTTTTACCTGAGTTTTGGTTTGGTCAGGGTCGTCGGGGTAGTCAGGGTAGCCGGGGTATTCAGGATCGTCGAGGTAATCAGGGTCGTCGGGGTAATCAGGGTCGTCGGGATCGTCGGGGTAGTCTGGGGTTTGGGGGCAAATTGAGTCAATACATCGGGTCTTAAGTTGTGCAAGAATCCGATTTTTCACTAACTTCACAACAACGCTGTTTAATAATTCAGTTTTAGTACATAACCAATTACTTTGCACAGTTTTCAGCAACGTCAAGGTATGTATAATATGCCCGTATTATGCATTTTAGTAAATTTGAAAACCCCGACTACCCGTGGGTAATTGGCTACCCCAAAACATACCCAACTCCCTAAAAACCCGGAGAAGAATACTCTGGCTCGGTGTCTAAAATCGGAAAATCTTGAAAAACTGGGTTTTGGATTATTCCAATTTTTCCAATTTTGGTATACTCGATTAATTTCCTTTTTCTCAACCTTTTTTCGACTTTTTTTCAACTTGTAAAACCGGTTTTCCGTTAACCCGGAAGCCGATTTTTAATCGGTATTTACAAATCTTAAAACCCGATTTTCAACGCCCTAACTCTGGCATAAACAAATAAATTTAATTATCAGGGAATGCAACAACTCTACATATTACTGGGGATGACTGCTACCTTATTCCATCCCATATGCCCTATGTCAGCTCTATTCAAATATCTGGGGATGAATCGTCCTGCATCGAGTTGCACGATGAAGCCTCCTGTTCCGCGGACTTTACACAATTACGACCCTGGTATCCGCAACTAAATCGGTTGGAGGATTGGTTTTCGAAAGGAAGATTCAGAATCAACTCTCCATATAATGCCAAAGCATTGGCGCGATGTGGAAGCCATTGCGGGCGAACGATTCCAGGCATAAATCCCGCAAATCCGGTACAACCGGGCAAAAATGTTGTAACAGTTTACCCCGAAATGGGATATTATGGTAAAACAGTTATCAGTTTGCAGTCTGAATACAGGGTGGTTTAAATGTCACGCAACGGCGGAAAATTTGGCACAGGGAAAAGCCCATTACACTTAATAATCCGGTAAAGTCACTCAGGCAATGATTTCTCGGTAATAAATTTGGTAATAATATTTTACCAAGGAGTAAAATTTCGTTATCATGATGGTAAATACCCTACCATTACCACACGGTACAACTTATCATTACCGCTTTGGCAGAGTCATATACATACTTGTGCTTTTCGGTAATGTTTATTACAAGATTATTTACAGTGTAGTTACAAGATTTGGGGTTGACATTATTACCAAAGTTGTTGGAACACTGGTAACAAAATTCTTAAAATGTTGAATTTCAGAGACAGAATTACAGTAACTAATGGAAATTTATGAATTTTTCCCATTAAAAAATTATCCAATGTAGCGGGACATTTAAGCCACCCTGTACATACGCATTTAGGGTTGCCGATCCTATCCTATCCTATCCGATCGGATAATCCGACATTATCCGACACTTGTTGTAACATATATCCTATCCGAGGCTCGGATGGGATACATGTTATAACAAGTGTCGGATATCCGTCATCCTATCCTATCCGATCGGATAGGATAATGTCGGATAAAAACGGCAACCTATACGCTGTTAACTTGTTTTTTTCCCAACAGGCCATGGAATTAATGCGAACCTTTCGAACGGATGCGCCAATGTGGAGCGACCTTTCCTTTCGATTAGAACTTATGGCACCTGTGTTACCGTGTACGCCACGCCAAACTGTAGTGAGGCGAGATTTAGTTTTAGGACGAATGGGGAATCCGTGGATTATTATAAAACGAGATTATCCGCTTTAACTACGCTCCGCCGAAGATCAATGAAACTGTGTGATGATGAGCAGGAAGTTGAAATTGAGGAGGAATCCGTCTCAAATCAGGGTTGCGAGTCGGTTTTGTTTGATTGCACGCATTTTTCCCTCGCGTGTTTTATTACCAGCCTGATTTTTGGTATGGTAGGTGTCCTCCTCACTGTTCTGTGGGAGCGTGTGAATTGATAATAAATTTAATCTTGGCCAATTATTTTAATTAATTTCCGCGATATTGGAAACGTGCACTTTAATTGCTGCATAATATCTAAGTACGCTATGAGGATCTGAGACTACACAATCATTAATATAGGGAGTAATATCAAGCATTGAGTAATTTTAATTCGTAATTGAGTATTCTTGGTAAATTGTAATTTCCATTGTGTATGTAGTAGCCTTGGAAACCACTAGTGGTAATTGTGCCAGCTCTGCTAATTAATTCCCGACCATGCATTATTACCAGAGTCTGGTTATGTATTTATTGTAAGCTTTTTAATAACAACCCGATTGAATTCAAACTTTGGGACCTTGCTTCTGGTCAGGCATAAGTCACACGGTCAAAAAAATGTTTTCACATAATTCCAGGTTTTCACGCATATAAATATTTTCTTATATATTTCAGCGATTTTGTCGAAAATATATAAATTTTTTATACACATAAATATGTTTTTTATATATTTCGGCGATTTTTTCAAAAATATACATTTTTTCAGAAAAACCACAGAAATTCAGATTACATAAATAATTCCGGTCATCGCAGAGATTGTACCAGAGCATGGGGAAAGGTTGTTAGTTTATCATTTTGAAATGTATATGGTGGCATTTTACTCTCAAATAAATGAAATTTGAAGCAATTTAAGAGGAATTAAAAAAATGTTTTATCTACATATTTTGACGATTTGATTAAACATTTTACATAAATATTTCGGGATTTTTAAGAACATATTTAACCGGACTCTGATTATTACAGAACATTTTCTTAATCCGTCTCGTTCGCTTCAAGTTGTACATACATATATGTAGAAAATGTGATGAACGAAAAGAATGAATGAATATCTGACCATGTGAATCGAAAAGGGTTAAAGGTTACAGTTTGCATGTTAAATACAGATACACATTTGTATTAGATTTTTTTTGCCAGATACATACGTACTCTTCCTGAGGCTTGTCATCTCATTTGCATAAATATCACCATGCCCATTGGCGGCCATACGAGCTTTCTACTTTGAATAAACTCTGTGCCTGTCGCGAATGCGTCAAAATATGGAAATGAGGTGACACTCATAAATAATTCCACTATATTCACGTTCATCGTTCATGATTTGTGTTGCAATGAAAAATAATGGATATATACGTACGTATCTATGTACATATTTATGTACATACGCAAATGCTTCACATAAACGCGTAAACTCTGCATATTTATGTATACTTGATCACCAAAAACAAACGTGCTCGCATACACACATATCTTTGAACTTGGCATATTAATAAATTAACTACACAAATTTGCAAAGCATATGTTGGCCAGTATGTATGTGTTCGGTTAAATTACTTTCAACAGAGTTGCGACTTATGCCATTCTACAAATTAGCTCCTCTCTTTGTGCACACTTTTAATACAGTGGTCCTCTTAATTCAAAATTAATCCAATCTTAATTCTAAATTAAGTAAACTATCTAGAGTAACCTTTACTTAATAAAGAGTAAAGTTTGCTCGGGATTTACATGGTATAATTTACTTATAATTCACTTAAGAATTCAGAGTGCGATTAATTTTCAAAAGGATAACATTATTTTTGAGAGTGTACACCTTGTTAAAATTTTGAATTAGATTAAAACTAGAATGACACATTCCAGTGTGAAACTTCCCCGATTTTCATTCAGCTTAACCTGGATTATTGTTAGTTTGCTGATCACCACGTGCTTCTTGGTAACATGTCGTTGTTCAGACCAAGATGAGTTCATCGAGGACTATTTTGATCGGGTTCCATCAACCGCACCCGGTTTTAAATGTAAGCCGACAACTTTGGGAGAGGACGCGAGTGTCAAAGTGACCGTGTGCGATGACCGGCAAGGTATTTCACTTAATTTTGTGATATATTTATTACCGGCGCAGACGCTACACAACTCTACCGCATGGTACACTCTTAAAAATCCGACAAAGTCATGCAGGTAATGATTTATCGGTAATAGGTAAACGTAGTAATAATATTTTACCAGGTAGTAAAAATTCGTTAACATGATGGTAAAACTTTATTACCAAGCTATTACCACACGGTACCACCGATCATTGCTACTTTGGTAGAGTTGTATACTTTTGCTTTTCGGTAATGCTTATTACAAGATTATTTACAGTGTGTACTACATCCAGGGTAAAGTTAACTTGACAAAGAGCAAAGTTTACTCTGAATTAACTAATTTTAAGCTGATCACGGAAAGCGTTGTTTATTTTTTTAAAATTAGGCTAAAATTCGGAGAGTATTTATTTTTCGAAATGGTAACATTATTTTTAAGAGTGTAAATACATATATTATTATTTTTTATTTCAATACGTAGAAAACAAAACGGATCTACTGATACAGGGCGGTACCTGTTACTTAATTCCACGCCCCCGCCCCAAACTGGGCGATCGGTATAAATCCAGCTATATAAAAATGTCCGGAAATGAATCATACTGCATTGAGTTACACAACGAGGCAGATTGTGGTGGGAAATACGACCAAATTCGACCAGAATATCGAGGAAATCGTACTCTACACAATTTGGGTTAGGAGGTGTCCATATATTACGTTAGAATAAACGTCCATTTCCATATCAAACATATAATCTTCATTTATAAGTCGATTTCTGACTCAAGATTTTCATTCATATTCATTGATTTTGGCTCAAATTCATTTCACTTCATCGGACTGCATTTCTTACCTCGCCTCTTGTACATATTTATTAAGCACTGGGTGAAAATCAAAAGAATGAAAAAAATCCTTCATTCATCTGAAATGACGGGATACTTCACTTGTTTTCATTCAAATCAAAATCAGCCAAATGAACGAAGGCGAACAGGTATGACCTAGCTACCCTTCCCCTATTCTACTCATGTCTATTTCTGTGTACTTGCATTCATTTGACTTGATAATGAATGATAGCGCGTGAAAATGAATAGCCTGTCAATTGGATTAAAATAACTGATAGATTTTGTCATTTCAGATGAATTAAAAGGACGTTTCACTCCGTTCATTATTTACCCTATGCTTAATACATGGGGCGAAGTAAGGAAAGAAGTCTGGTGAAGTGAGGTGAAATGAATTTGAATGAAAAAACGATTGAATGTGAATGAAAATCTTCAATTTGAGATTATTAGGAATTACAGAATTTTGAATGAAGACGAAGTTTTTGAACAGTTATGCTCATGTCAGGCTTAACACGAGTAAGATAGGCGACTTAAAACTATCCGCTGGTCGTTTTGATGACGTAATATATGGACGCCCGATTTAGAATTGGAGATCCCGTTGTTCTCGGCTAAGTCTATTTCACTTTGTGGAGCTTTCTGTAATAAGACAATTGCGGAAATTAATCCCGTCATGGAAGCGAATCCGGGTCCAGGCATGGTTTCATTGTATCACGAGTTCGGGTACTATGGTAAGGCGTTACATAATTTATGAACGGCCCCTTATCCCATAGATAATGAATAAATTATTCATTCATTATTTCATAAATTGGTGAATAATGAGTGAATAATTTTTTATATTTTTTTTTTCACTGAATTGAGGAAATTCATTTCATATTCATGAAGAATGGATGCCTTCTTTTATTAATTATTCATTTTTCACAATATGCTTAATGCATGGGGTACATTGAGAAATCCATGTAATAAGGGGAATTTAAGTTCAAATGAATGAGGAATGAATATTGAATAAATACTTACACTCCATTCGCACACAGTTTGATCTTTTACAGAAATTGAGAATTCTGAGAAACTACGGCACTGTCGGTCTCACATTCCCTCAAATAATGCTGACAGGGAAGTTTTAAACTGGCATTGGCGTAGCTTCTCAGAATTCTCAATTTCTGTAAAAGTTCAACTGTGTGCGAATGGAGAGTATTTTATAATGTTAGATACTTAATTGAACAACTTTTTAATTTTATGAGTTTTGAATGAAGAAATATATTTTTTTAAATTATTTTTTTGTTAATATAGGATACCCCATCCACGTGAATTTATCCGCGGGATGTGTCGAAATTGAGTCCGTTTTCGCCGTTATACGAACATACGGCACATGCGTGATTTTATACTCATCGCCCCATTGTGCTGAGAAAAGTGGGGAATATTCGTATCAGACGAGCGGGAAATCGTTGGAATATTACGAAGAGAAAATGACCAGCTCGACGATACCGATCTTCCCAAAATCTCTCCAATTTTGCCGGGAGACTGACATTCAGGGTATTCGTTACAAGTTTGCAAAAAATTCGCAAGTTTGTAAACAAATTGGGGTCTGTAAAACAACATGTGATCGATTCGGGTAGGGGTCAAGGAATCTTATCCTTCCCATGTAAATTATAACATGGGGCGTATAGGTCACTCCAGGGGGGTAGGGGTCATAATTCCCAGAAAATCGATCACGTGCTTTATGTATGTACGGTTCTAAAATTCGTTTGGGAATCTTCAATAACTACACTTTAAATAATTTGATATTAAATTGACACCCGTGGAGAGTGCCCTCCTTTTGTGTAATAATTTCGGAGAAGTTTTATCACAAAGGGAAAATATGTCTGTAAAAAAATATCGTGTACCAAACAGAGACGACGTCGTTATTTACAAAAAATGAGCATTTTTATCTAAATATGAAATTTTTGTATAATTTTTTAATAACGGCGTAAAACGTGTGTGCTACAGGATTAAATATTTCCCTCGGTGGCAAAACCTCTTCGTGGATAATCATTACCCAAAAATTGGGTAATGATTGTAACTGGGCAATTTCCCCGCGGGTGGCGATTTATCTCCAAATTATTTACAGTGTAGTATTGTTTTCAATTATGTATGTGGTCATCGGAATGAATGAATGAACTCGTAATGAATGCCCCCATTAAATCAGTTCCGGAACACGGTGAAGAAGATGTAGATATTTGCAAACAATCTCCACCCCTGAGTAACATTGCGGCATGGGTACAAATTTACGTGGGGGTGTGCATCGCTATTTTGTCAGCAGTGGGAGGCTCATTTGTTACCAAGTTTGTAATAAAGAAGAAAAATAAGATTGGACGGAATGTGCAAGAAGTTAATGTTCAATATAAAGCAGAGGATCAATAAAATATATTTTATGCCAATTTGATTTAGTCTACTTAATTGTTATGGCTTGTCCATATTCATATACATATATATTCATACTTATCTTTTATACTTATCCGTATATGTAAATAAATTTGATTGCTCACATCCACTAATTAAAATCAAGTGAGTTTATCTTTACCAATAAACCCATGCTTACCTTCTGCCCCGTTTCAATCTCAATCCGCCCTACGTCACGCTTCCAGTTTGAAATGACTGAACATGACGCCGAAAAAAGTGTGAGATGGGGCGGGTTGAGATTAAATCGGGCAAGAATAAATATGAATTTTTTGACAAAGATAAACTGACTTGATAAGTACTAAAAACCGCATTCTTGGTAAAAGCTACTACTTAAGTAAGATAAGCCTCTTTCCACGAAAGTTTAAACTTTTACAGAAATTGAAAATTCTGAGAAACTACGCCACTGCCAATCTCAAAGTGCCCCGTCAGCATTATTTAAGACGGACAGTGCCGTAGTTTATCAGAATTCTCAATTTTTGTGAAACTTCATACCTGCGTGGAAGGAGAAGCAGAAATATAAAACATTGGCATCGAATTAAATTGGTTCGATTTTCCCCCAGATTGGTTTTAATTTACTACTACGCGGAACGATCCGAGTATGTGGGGACATGCAAGGATCTATAATTAGGCTGATACGACGGCGAGAACGAGAGAGACGAGAGACTTGTCCACTTTTCTCTGACAAGACACAAAGTTGGGTCGGATCAACGATTTCAGAAACCCGATCCGATCACTTTTGCGGATTTTTCAAAACTACCTATACGATCCGTTTTTCGGATTAAACAAATATCCGATCCTATCCGTTTTTTGGATTAAAAAAATATCTGATTAAATCCAAACGGATCAAATCGGGCCGGGGATAATCCGAAAAAATGGATATCAGACTCAGCTCTGCTTCCCTGCTCCGCAATTGCTTTGTGAAAATGGTATACGTCATCCTTCGTGCATATTTGCATTTAAGCAGGAAATACTGTGAGTTTATGTATGTAGTGAATAGGTCAGTATATATGTAGATATACAGACGGATACAGAAACCTAACCTAACCTAGTACTTTTAAATAAAAGAATTTTTTTTTTTGGTTTTTTCGAAATTCCGATTTTTTTTTCTGAATTTATTTCAAAATTGGAATTTCAAAGAAACGCCTAAAAGGGGTGGAGATACTAACAAAGAAAAAAATTTGGTGCAATTCCATTCACCCGTCCGCATAGGGACAGAGAAATCTTTGTCCCTATGCACACTATGTACACCATGTTGTAGGCTCATAATTAGGCATAATGCCCCCCAAGGTAATTTCCCCGCCAAAAAATTTGGTTTAATCGCGAGACACTGACCATAGTAACATCTTAAAATACTTGATTCCAAATTCTAAAACTAGTTTGGATATCGTTGTTGAAATGAATAATTCTTACTCTTACCTCAACATTATCATACAGTGGTGTTTGTAATTTCCTACCATGTCGGTCAGTCATATACTAACATCTGTACGCATGTATGTACCTTATAAAGGGTGTTAATAAAGTCCGATCCCATTTTTCCTATAAAAAAGTGAAGGCTAGTATAAAAAAAACTACCCGTGATACTTACAAAAAATGTTCGACATATTTACCTTAGTATTTGGTCTTGTTACCATTTACTTTAACCATGCCCTCAACTCTTTGTTTAAGGCTCTGTGCTAATTTTTCCAATGTGTCTGTGGGAATCGAATTCCATACATCTTGAACTTTTTTTTACTAGCTCTTCCCTCGTCCGGGGTTGTGGTTCTTTGTATACATTTTCCTTAAGTATGGACCACAGGTTCTCCAGGGGATTCAAATCTGGGCTGTTTCCGGGCCACACCCCCTTGCTCCAGACCGTTGAAACTTGCGTCTTGATGAGACTCAAACTCGCTTTTGCTGTATGGGCTGTAGCACCATCCTGCATGAAAACTATTTTTCTTTCATTCGGAAATATTTCCTTGTTCCCCATGCTATCGAAATAGATAGGTAATATTTTTTCCATATAATACTTTGCATTGACTGTTTGGCCTTTTGGTATGATATGTAGAGGAGTCACGCCACGTGCACAAAATCCACCCGCTACCATAACTTTAAGCCCGAATTTTGGGACTGCTCTTGATGGTACATCCGATTTGTTTTCTGTCCTGTAACGAACATTTTGTTGGTTCAATTTTGGATATAGCTCAATAATAGATTCGTCAGTCCAAAGGATGTGACTGCGCAATTCTTCACCAAGTCTTTTTTCACTCAAATGGCCACTTTTCTGAAGGAGTTCTCCAAATTTCAGACGGTCATCGATATTTTTTTGTGACATGAGAGGTTTTTTGGTTAGTTTGTAAGCTGTGTGACCCCACCTCGTAGATTTCACAAATTTTTGCACGGTCACATAGTTAATTTGCTTCTTCTTCTCTTTATAGCGTTTTGAGTCATTTAACTCCCTTGCACAATTACGTAATGAACTACCGGTTTTCTTGTAAAGTCTGTTTTTAATCATTCTCTTTGTGGTAGGTGACACCTTTCTGGGTCGCCCGGGTCGCTTTTTGTCGTGGACAAAATTTTTGTTCTTCCATTTCCAAACAGTTCTGCGGCTGCAGCCCAATTTTTGCACAATTTCTGCAGGTTTAAACCCCTGCTGATGCAATGTTTGTATCTTAACTCTAAGATGCTCATGACTTACACGTTTAGTTGTTCCTCCCATGGTAAAAATTTGAAATAAATAACTTCACTGGTTCAAAAGTTCCAGCTGAATTTGTAACAACCGCGCTCCAAAAAATTCATGGGATCGGACTTTATTAACACCCTTTATGTTCTTAGTCCATCGATGAGTTAATCTCAGTTTTCTAAAAGCGCAGATGCAAAAGTGACTGATGCCTGTATGCCCAACTGTAATATATGTACACTCTCAGCAAAATTGCCACCAAAATTGTCTCCTCGTGTAGGTAATATGCAACTCTACCGTAGGGTGATAATAAAATTGGTAATAATTTTGCTTCTAAATTATTGAGAGTGTATAATACAATAAACACATCGGGCAGAACCATACCTAACATTTGGGGAATATTTTCATTCTTGTCATTATCTCCTGGCTTAAATCTTTGGGATAAAATGAACGATATTATCACAATGAGCACGGACGCATATTTTGCAACATATATTTTGCAACATATGTGCGTTGCACGGATTCAGCAGATGTAAAACATTTTAGTGGAGGAGAATTAAGATAACTTCAATTTGATGAATGACTGGTGGCAAGCCAGCACAAAACCAAATGTGATAAATCCTTCCCAGATTATGTTATGAATATATACACTGCAACCTATTCAACAGGGTGTGGCAGTCGATCGCCATCTCAGATGCTCGCTTTACGCGGATTGTGAATTTACATGTACATATTTTCCGAATATAAATATATTGAAATTTTATCGAATTTCGTGAAATGGCAGGGTACAGACCAACAGCCCCTCCCCCAAATTTAGAAGACGCCCTCGAGTGCACCATTTGCCTTGACACGCCAGTCTCGCCCATCCATCAGTGCGACAATGGGCACATCGTTTGCGGGACTTGTGCCGGGAGGATGACAGCTTGTGGTTTGTGTAAAACTAAATTGCAAATTTCTATCTTGGCGGAGCGACTTTCACGACAAGTTAGTAAATTAAATCAAAGTCATGAACTTATTACTATAGACACACACAATGAAATAGCAGAATTTTCGCACTTGTACGATTTTGATGTATCATAGCTTGAAATTTGCTCAATGTAGGTGGGTAAATAATCAGCAATAATAATTGGAGTGCGCTTACACTGTAAATAATCTGGTAATAAACATTACCGAAAATCACAAGTGTATGACTCTACCAAAATGGTAATGATAAGTTGTCCCGTGTGGTAATGCTCTGGTAATAAAGTTTTACCATCATGGTAACGAATTTTTACTACTTGGTAAAATATTATTACCAAATTTATTACCGAAAAATCATTACCTGCGTGACTTTACCGGATTATTAAAAGTGTAGCCAATTTTCGGGATACCAGCCAAAATGTGAATTTTTGCATTTTTTTTACTCTTGTCTCAAAATCGCCTACATTTTGCCACATATTACTGGAAATAATTTTAAAAAATTACTATAGGCTAAAATATGACTATTGCGTCGAATTTTGACCCCAGTTTTTTAATTTGTTGAATTTAGAGACAATTGCAATTTCCCTATTCGTTTTTACACGATCGAGATCTGAAATTTTGAATAGCATTTTAGGTGAGCCCATAAGTTCTAACGAGACATCGGATTCGTTAAGTTACTGTTACTTATTCCGAATTTTGTGAACAACAGGATTTTTTTAAATAATTTGGAATCTATTAATTACGCGACGACTTGTTAAGGTTGTAATTATGTTTTCCCTTTTTATAGTTAGACCTTAAGCCTTCCTGTCCTTACTCCATAGCTGGATGCGTAACAAAAATATCGAGGGCTGAAATGGTCAGCCATCAGGCTAAGTGCTACTACAGGTAATGCTTGTTTTTTAAGTGTTGCTTAATTACTTAAGTATGTATGTATGTAATTAACTAGTAATTGCTTATTTCTACTTTACCAAAGCCAGTAATTCCATGAGCTAATCTTGTTTGGAGACTTACTTACGTTACTTTAAATAACTTGGACATGCATTGATAAATTTATAAACCGAGTTCTGTAATTATTTTAAGGGATGTTATATGTGAAGATCCAAAGTGGCCTCCATGCGACAGGGTGCCAATCCCTTTTGGAGATTTCTTCAATCACTTGCATACCAATCATCAAATTGATTTGGATGAAATAAATCTGGGACAGTTCTGCGACAGAACTGGGATAGTTCTCCCGGTTTTTGGTGGAGACCAATTTCGAGGTATTTCAAAATAGATATCTTGCAAGATAGCGACCTTTATTTTTTAGCATTGCAAGCAATGCAAATTTGTCATGATAACGCGCTGTATTCATGAGGGGATATGCAATCCCATCTAACTTCTTACAGATTTGGAGAGAGAGCAGATCGTTAAGCTTGTCAAGAAAAATGGTCAGGCATTCTTGCTTCATTGTCACATCGACACAGACCTCGCAACCTTCTGGATGACCGTTCTTGGCGATGAAGCAGAGGCTAATAAACATTGGTTCCAAATCAAGCTGGGAAACGAAAATAAAACTGAAGCGAAGGTAACTAAATTGCTATTTTCACTACACTTGTAGCTTACTCTGGTAAGGTAAATCAGTACTGATTTCAAAAGCCATTCAAATATTTGTATTTCCTAAGTTTAATTTAGATACGGTGACGCGGGGCAATAAGTTCTAACTTGTATGGTTCATCAGCTGATGGCCTTGTTAGGCTTAATTTTAATAGTAATTTGAGGATCCATAATAAGTTCGCAGGTTTCTGGAAAGGACTTAATAACAACAGAAATTTGTTGAGGGCGAGACTGCCATTAGCACAACAAAGTTAGCAAAGTTTTACGTATCACATAAAGCAGATACTTTACAAATTGCCGCAGTTCCTTCCCTAGGGGGATTTTAAACGGTTTTTACCTAAGAAGAACGCATACCATTATGTATTTTTTTAATTTGTTAAATCACCAGTAGTCTTTATATACATAATTAACCAACGTGATCAAACATTTCTATGCAGAAACAGAATGTCGCAAAATGTGAAACAACAAGTACTAAGGTTCATCCAATTGTTTACGCAAAGCCAGTAAGAACAAATGGCGCAGCAGGTAAGGTACCAAATGATTGCAATTTATGTAGATATACACAAATTCACATATGTATGTATCTACCACCCCTGCTTTTAAGTACATTCTAAATATTTCGGAGGCCAATCGTCACCCAACGGGGGTGCAAGTGCTCTATTTTTGGGTAACGATTTATGAGACGGTTTGTCATCAAGGGGAAATAAGTCAAAAACTTGTCCATGAAGCACGGGTGACGTCGGAATTTGAAAAATTATCATTTTTATCTGATCACATAATTATTTACATGCAATTATTGAATTTTTTGAATGACAACGTCAAGCGTGTTTCGTACACGAGTTTTTGATTTATTTCTCATTAGTGACAAAACGTCTTCGTAATCATTTCCCAAGAATGGAGCACTACCCTACTTGCGCGGATGACGATTTCTTTCAAAATTGTTTAGAATGTATGTTTTAAATACAATTAATTCAGTTCAATTAATTCAGAGTTTAAAATATCAAACTGCTCTTAAACTGATCATCGATTATTGTTAGGCTATAGCTCAATACTTGTGGAAGATTGCATTTGGTTCCGTCCCATGGGTTCCAAGGATTATCAATATACTGCTCAGTTAACAATAAAAAACGAGTCAACAAGCGGAGAAATGTTTATTGTTTGGGTTAGATTATATTTGTGTTAAAATTAAAGCCTAGTAGTCAGGACTGATTTTTCAGGTAATACCCTATAGAACAATTTATGGAATTTCAGTGAAATAGTAGTTTAATGCAGGGCAAGGAACCTGTGAAAAATCCGTCTTGAATACTAGGCCCAGAACTTGGAACTAGTTACATTAACTATGCCCCTTAATTTTGTAGATTGAGACCAGTGCTCCAAAGCGGTATCGAGCAAGCCACCGAATATTTTTGTTGAGTACCCACGAAACTGTTTGTGTTACTATTGTGATCCCGTAGGGAGTTTCAGCTGGTGCTATGACGGAGGACACGTTTTCTGTATGGCCGAGGGTAATTCCTGAACATTTGCTGTACACCACAGACGAAATTTGGAGTGAAGATTGTAGCAGAAGTACAAAATTGTATGATTTTCAAGGGCCTGACGAACGAAAACAAATATATCAGGTTTGCTACATAAGAAAAAGTGAAAATACTTTAAATGTAACACGTTCCTCTGAGGAATATTTACGTTACATCAATTATTTGGTCTTGAAATCTTGAAAAGTGAAAATGCTTTTAAAATGGCCTACCATCTCATGCATTCGAACTTAAAAGGAAACTTTTCGAAAGGCTTACGTTTTGATATGTGGTGGGAAGTTTTCGTACTATTGGAAATCATGCAACTAATTGGTGGCCAAGTGATCATATTTGTGTTACCTGAAATAAAATTACGAATGCTTTATATCGTGCGTAAAACGGCGCGCTAAGGTAAATTGATTAAAGTAATTATGCCACAATTTTACAGGACATAGCCAAGTGTAGCCCTAGTTTTTTCCGGTATAACTTAAAAGTTGCTGTAACGGATCCATACCCTCCTGCTCGGAAACTTATTGATTTCAATATTGAAAAACAGCGAACTGCATTGAATAACGTGGAGCGAGAGGTTTGTTACATAAACTTATTTCCAATGTGTGAGTACGTGAGGGATTTTATGGGATTAATTATTCCTGAAATCTACTGTTCCTTCTCTGAATTCGGGTTGAATCTGTCAAAGATTTAACTTGACTTATTTGTAAAATTTATATATTTTTAATCATTTAGACTCAAATATGTTATACCATCCCCGTTTTGACGTATCACCATCACTCCAAATTCGACAAGGCGCAGATGCAGCACAACTGTGCAATGTTCCCAGCTCTACTTCTTCGTCAGGTTGGAATGAAAAGGGGTGCCGATACCAATGCGATGCCCTTAAGTTTTTCATACGGCATACTTTAAAAATTTATTTTAACTCGACGACTTTACCAAGTTTATAAAGCCGTGATGATTATTAAATAAACCGTAGTAACGTTAGAAGTAGCTCACCCTGTAATAATGATTTGGTTATAACTTGCCCCAAAGGTGCAGAAAAATGCAACAAAATAGTTACATAATTTTTTGCAATTATGCACCAATGGTGCAGAAAAATCCAACAAAGTGGATCAATAATTTTTATGCAATGTTGCACCAATGGTGCAGAAAAATTAAACAAAATAGATCAGTAATTATTATGCATCGAGAAGAGTCCAAAAATTGTGCATCACTGGTGCAGAATTACCTACCAACGATCAACGATAATTTTGAAAAATTTACGTCAAAATTGTATGATCATTTCTCCCGGATATTCTGCACTATTGGTGCGTTTTGCATCCCTTCCCCCAATTATTTCGCATCATTTTGTGTTCCCGATTGTTAGATATCAATGGTCCTATTAACTTGTTAAAAAATTTGATTCGGTTTGTTTAGTACCAATGGTGCGCCTAACGTATCCAATAATGGTCAAGGGGCTTTATAATTAGCATCAATGGATGCAAAAAATTCGTTAACAACCAGACGGACAGACGGACGGACAGACAGAGGGACAGGAGGAATTCAATAGCTCTCGTGCTACGCAGGGCGAGCTAATAAGTAACTAGATATGTCATTATTTAGAGAGTCGTAGATAAAATTGAATAATTTATTTTAAATTTAAATACCAGAGTTAAGTTACTATATCAAATTATTAATGTCCCCTTTCTTAACTAGGTAGGTATTTATATACTTTTTCTCCCTTGAAAGATACTTATGATCCGTATGAGAATTGTTAAAATATATAAATTCAAATTACAGGTTTGAATAAATCGATGAGAATTAATCAAGTAAATGTTGAACGAAGGATAATTATCAAGCAAATTCAACATTATAAATAATAATTCAAAATAGGTACATAATTTTGGTAGAAACTGTACGGGATACAGTAGCAGTTACACAAACATATATATACATATACATATGTTTGTGCTATCAATGCTCTATATGGAGCAATGATATCACGGATACTCAGCATAATAGCAATTGCATCTGCATCCCTCGGAAGTATGACCACCGCAAGGGGAGCAATATTTGGACAAAGTCCTGTTTTCAAGTGAACAAGTGATGATTCAAATGATTCTTCGAATTTTCTGTAGCTATTGATATTGCACGTCCACCTTACCCTAGAAAATTGTTGGGGTGGTGTTAATCTGGTTATAAAATTGCGAAATAAAATACGCTGCTCTTAACGAGCCTGGCCTGCTACGAGCTGCGATGCACATTGTGGAATACATGGATGGTCAAACTTGTTTATCGTACTGTAAGGAGAACGTCCCAAAAATCAACTTTAGGTTTGGGTATCTTTATCCATAATGGTGTTAGCTTCCTGGATTGCTTGCGGACGCAAGGATGGCACCTTCACCTGGAAAATTCTCCTGTTTCAGGCGTTCTTTCAAATTTCCATGTTTATGCGTCAACCGATCAGAAACTTTAACAGTATAAATATAACGATGGGATTGATCAGCTTAGTTCTTTTGTCTCTTTAAGAAACCTTAACAACCGGAAGTCTCATTGCTCCACAACCTCCAGTAAAATTTCGACATGTCGGGGACTTGTAAACGCTGGGTTTATAGTTTTCAGTTCTCCATCGAAATGTCTTGGATTTGTTAACCTCAAAACATTACCGGACGTGAGGGAAGAAATATGGAATACTTAACAAACTAAATTCTACATTTATTTAGGGTAGAATTAACAGATCGGATGGATGACATTTTTGAAATGGTTTGATTTTTGAAATGGTTGAAACGAGCTTTCAGGGTTCAACTGCCCCCTTCTTCATGTGTAAAATTGTACAGGAGAAATTATCGGAATAATTTTATGAAAGATAATATTTTCAAAATCGGATGAGATGAAAAGTTGTTGACATCATTGGGGTCGCTGGGTAACCGGGATTGTAGTTTGGCGTATAAGCGTTGGTGCTAAGGGCAGGAGTAGTGATGTCCAAATGGGGTTTATTTCCATACCTAGATCTCGATTAATTTTATTTCTAGTATTTCTGCTCAGCAATCCCTCCTTGAATTTCCGGTGGAAATATCGTTCCTCCCGATGAATGAGAGTTGCTGATTCTGTTTGAATCCTGTGATCAGGATTCTCAATTATGTGTGTTGCAATCGCGGATTTAATATTTTTCTTTGTTAAATCTCGGTCGTGTTCTTTCATCCTTTCCTCCATGGGACGGGATGCCTCTCCAATGTATGATGAACTGCAGTCGCATGAAATTTGATATATTCCAATTTTAGGAGGTGGCTCTTTTTGTTTATGCGTGCAGATTTTGTTCCCTATTTTTCTACCAGGAATGTAGCCAAAGTCGCAGTTTAATTTTCTTCTGAGAAAATTAGTCATTAGGACCCATATATGGGAGAATCATGCGTGGTTTATCATTTTGCTCATTTTCGTCTCTCCTTCTGGATCGCATCCGTTGTATCCGAGATTGTAGGAGGGTGTTTGGGAAGTTGTTGCTGAAGAGGTTGGTTCTGACATGCTGAATTTCTTCCTCAAGATATTCGGGGTCAGAAATTATAAAAGCACGATATAGTAATGCATTAATCACGGAGATCTTGTGCGATGGATGATGGTACGATGAATAATTTAAGTAACGTCCTGTGTGAGTAGCTTTCCTAAGCACCTTTCTCCTGAGTTGATTTTCTTCGTCTCTAATTAGAGTCACGTCTAAAAAGATATTTGTCCATTTTCTTCTTCTTCATAAGTAAATTGGATATGTTTGTTGAATTGATTGAATTCTTTTTGTACATCTAGCGTTGCGTCATCGTTCATAATGCAGAAAGAATCATCCACGAAACGTCGGTAAAGGTCAATTTTTGGGTGGTCTTGTACAACTTCAGATTCAAAGTACTGCATATACAGTTCGGCGAAAACGGGACTGATTGGAGAACCCATAGGTGTTCCGCTTGTTTGTTGGAAATACATGTCCTTGTATTGAAAGTAGTTAGATTTGATGCAAAGTTGTAGTAAGTCTAAGATGTCTTTTGCTGTTAGACTTGTATGAGATTTCCAATTTGATGTTTCTCGCAATAGTTTTTCAATGTATGTCATAGTTTCTTGAATGGGAACTTTGGTAAATAATGACGTGACATCAAAGGAAACAGGGACAAACTTTTTGATGATGTTGGAGTTTGTAGTTTTTGATTTGTTGGGAAAATTGATAAGAGTTCTTTAGTGTAAAAGGGTTGCGGACCAGAGATTTTAAGATTTTGCTGAGATGGGAAGCAATCTTACAAGAAGGGGAGTTTCGGAAGTCACATATTGGTCGTAGAGGTGTGCCGGATTTATGAATTTTAGGTAGGCCATAAAATATCGGGGCTTTTGAGTTTCTTGGGAATGTGGAATTGTAAATGCTTTTGGATATTCTTTTGGTTTTGTACAGGGATTTCAGTTTGACTTGAATTTCTTTTTCTAGTTGCGTGGTGGGATTTTCTCGAATCATTTCATACGATGGGTCAGTCAGCATATCCATGATTTTGTTGTTCTAATCATCTTTGTTCATTATAACGGTTGCATTGCCCTTGTCTGCCGGACAAATAATAATATTCTTGTCTTGTTGAATTGATCTGATTTTGTGGAGGGATCCATTGGTATGACTTAATATTGTTGTCGGGTCGATTCTTGTATGAAGATAGTATTCTTGAGAGTCCGCTTCGTATAGAGTTCTTCGGACAATTCAAGTTCATTTAAACAACATTCTAGAGAGATCCCAGATTCCACAATGAGTTCAGATTGGTTACGGAGGGGAACGGCATATGTAGTTCAGGCCGAGCTCCAAAATTTCGGCTTCGTCCTTAGTCAGAGTTTATTTTGACAGGTTTACGATGCTGCTTTTTCTAAAATGTGTAGGAGGAGGTGGGTGGGAGTTGTTTTTTGGTGTAAGTTTTTGGTTTTTCTGGAGTCGGTCAAATTTGTTTGTTTGTTTCTCCTTCACTTCTATGTTGTATTTCATTTTGGACGTGTTGATAAAATCAAAAATTGCATGATGGTGCTCTGTGCATCTTGTCAAAATTTGGGTCTTGGTATCATCTATTTCTCTCCTCAATTTCTACATTTATTGATTCTTCGCATATCAATCAATCAATGCATCTTGGAATGAGAAACCCCTTAGGGCAATGCACTTCATGAAGTCGCCCGCTGGAAATAGAGAGATGTAGAAAATTAATAACATGATAAGGACCAATTCAATTGAGCACGAATTTCAAAGGGGTGACCAGTTGTATCACGACTTGGGGGATATAACCCGGGTGAAAATCGGATGTCGAATTTGACAAAATTCGACACAAGTGCCCGGACCAATGGTTTGTGCGGAAGAAGTAGTAACGATTGTGCATAAAACTTCTGATAGGTATATTTTGCAGAAAGGTTTTGTATAATTATGCATAATTCTGCTTATTTTGTGCACAAATTGTTTCAGCATGAATTTTTCTGCATAAAATACAGCCAATTCTCTGTATAAAACCCAGCCAAATTTATGCATAAAATCCTTTAAGTTTTTCACCCGGCAAGGCATGTAAATTTCTAATATGACTCGAGGTTAATGGAGAAAATGGTTAAGATTCATAGGAGATTGATGGCCAGTGGATTAGTTGAATATTGGAATGGAGTTTTTAGAAATTAGGGATTTTTAAAGACTAAACATGTTAACGTTGCCGGTGAAAAATTCAATGTGGATAAAATTCTTAATGTGGACAATTTTATTTGGATTTGGTTCATTAGTACTTTTGTTTCTAGAGGTTAAGCTTGATCAAATTGGGAAGAATGAATAGTAAATTTAAGTCACCAATCAAATCAGGTCAAGATATCCTAACAAACCGGCAACTAATTTAAAACTAATTTTTCAAACCTGTAACTATTCTGATTAAATACGATAGATTTATTCAATTGTTTCTTAACTTGAATAACAATCAAATTTGTAATCGTCTCCATTGATGGATTTTTAACCCAATTAAACATACA